GCTAATCTTTCCAACACTTTGCTTTTTTCTCTTTTTTTTTTTGGTTTATTTACCAGTAATAAATGAGGTTGTTGAAAAAAAAATGTCGGATTTTTTAGGCTGGTGTTGATTTGGCAATTTTATTGTTGCATAAACCAATTACAGTCTGTGATCCAGAAGCCAGATACCCATTCGAAATTTTTTTGCTGCCATTTAAAGGTCTTTACAACTGGACAGATAAAAGTGTCGAAAATGCAAAGTGTTCATTGTTTGGATTTGGAAAAAACGAAAGTCTGTCTCTTATTTTTTTTTTCTCCTTTAACCGCTGGCGTTAGCATTCTTTGTTTGGTAGACGACAAAGCCAATAAGAACTTGAGAAGGAATTGAACTTTTTTTCAATCTTACCAAAGATTAAGACTTTTTCTTTTATTCTTTAGCTTCTTCTTTCCTTTTTAGAAAGTAGACATTTGGATTACGAGTTACGCAGTATGCCTGTTCGTCTGAAAGCCGAGTCACCAAATTTGACCACAGCGTTATTGACAAACCAAAAAATCTGTGAAGTAAATGAATATTCGTAATAAACAGTAGGGACAAGAAAAGAAAGCTTTTTGTAAAAGCATCTTAATCTGAAAAAAAGAAATTGTTTTTTTTGTTTTCAACTCAACAGATGTTTAAGCGTCATTTTACTTTTGTTCACTTCAGTAAACTATTCAATTTAACATAAATTTAACGCTAAATCGGCTTTTGTTCAACTTAAGTGAATATTGTCGTCTTAAAAAAAATTACAAAAAGCTGATCATATATATGCAACTTCAGTTCTTTTTTTTTTCTAACATAGTCAATATAGTCTTTGTCTATAAGCATCGTTTTTACGTGTTCAAATGCCGCTTTAAAATTGCCAGACTTTAGGGTGACTCAGGTGGACCGGTACTATGTAAGCACAACGGTCACAGGTATCTGATTGGAATTTCCACACGTGTTACTGCTCGACAATTTTCCACCACCCCACAACTGTGCTTTTTACGAATACCATCTGGACAGGTTTACTTATTTATGTTATATCGGTATAGCAAAATAAAAAATTTTTTCAATGTTGTTGTTTATAATACGTTATTCTTTTTTTTTTCTTCGAAAAACAGATATTGTAGAAGTTATTTTTTTTTTCTTTTTGCTTTACCCTACTTTTGACGGTTTATGCAATGTTACCTATTGCAGTATGCAATTGTAAGCGGTGCAAAATTTTATGATATTCGCCATGGACTGCCACATATTATTAAATTTTTGAAGGAATACAATCAATTGGCTAACCTGAAAGCGGATTACAGAAAATGCTACTAAATTTTTTGTAGTCTACTGTAACAATATTATCAATGGTCATTAGGTAGTGTATAGATTGTGAAACTGGCAGTACTATTGAACACTGTCGTTTCACTGATCCATCAATCACCAGTTAATGGGTACAAACAGTTCTTTCTACATGTTCCTCACCAGTTCTGAATCACTATAATCAGCCGACTATGGATTCAGTAAGCAAAAACGGTCTTATAGAAGTTCTTTTATTTGCATAATTTGTGTCTTCCCATTAAGCAAATTTTTTGTTTTTTTTGTTTTCTTTTCTCATAATACAGGAAATGAGCCTTGTATCTTTTTTCATTTCATTGTTTTTTCTGTCTGTTCTTAATTTGTTCCACATTTTTCTTTAAAAATGTTTTTTATGCTGTTTTTGATTTTTTTCTCAATTTATTACAGAAACCTTACGCTTGTTTTTTTTTTTTTTTTTTTTTTTTTTTTTTTTTT